ATCTTAGCATCCATTATTCAACTACCCTTCCAGTGCTTAAACCCTCTCTACAACTCTCTCAAAAAGTGCATGTCTGATCTGTACTGAAATACTTTCCAGGCCATCCAGTTTGTTTCGGGCAACTCCAACTCTTAGATTTTTTTTTTTTTTTTTTTTATTGAGCTGAAATCTTTACTTCCTGTAGTTTGTACCTGTGGGTCTCAGTTGTACCTGCTGGAACCATACACTTCTTTTGGTTCTTTTCCTCTTCTACACAGCATCCCTTGAGATAACTGAAGTTCAGATGCTCCTCCTCTTTATGCTTTTAAAAATATCTTCAGTATCTTTACCTTGGTTTGATAAGATGTAGTCTCAAAATCATCCTTCTAATTTGTCTTAGTTCATCAGCAGCCTAACTGAAAGCAGTAAGCAAAGCATCAGCTGCTGAGCTACTCATGGTCAACTTATAAATCTCCTCATCTGTTAAAACCTGCTTAATCCTTAGTCAACTACTACCTTGGGATAAACACATTATTTGTGTACATTACTATTACTTCCACATGAAAATGTCTGGATAGAGATTTGATGGCAAATAATTCTGATTTTTTTTAATCAAAGCTATAAATTTATTAAAACTATAGAATATCTTTTCAGCCCTTTAAAAGCATAAAAAATGTTTGGTGAAAACCAGTTGGTATTATTCTCAAAAACTAGTATTGGCTTTTTTTCGAATTAGTGTTATAGTTTCAAGAAAATGAAGTATGGTCAGTTTTTTTAGTTCTTTTAGTCAAACATAAGGACTAGATTAAGGAGATGTTTCTCAGAAGTTATGGTGAGGCTTCCTTGAAAATGAAAAAAAAATTCTTAAGTGTTGAATGTGGTGTTTGAAACAGAATAATAGCTTTTCAACACCAGATTTGCTGTAAACTGCATTTGGAGTTGGTGAGTTGCATTGAATTATGAATAATCAGAAATTATCATTTCATGGTACATAAAATCCAACAGAAAAAAGACAAAGGAAATTTTAACCCCTCCTTTTTTTTGTTGTTTTTGTTTTTTGGGGAAGGTAGTATTTATTTATTTGATTTATTATCGTTATTATTTTTTTCTTTAACGGAGGTACTAGGGATCGAACCCATGACCTCATGCATGCTAAGCGTGCACTCTATCACTGAACTATACCTTCCCCCATCCCTCATTTTCTGTAAAATAATTATAATTATATGGTTTCAACTTGTTTCTTTCCACTCTATTTTTCTCCCATTCTCTTCCTTTCACTTCTCTTTTTAAGATGATCTGTTAGATCATCTTAAGGCAGGCTACTATGTAATTTCTTTTCCCTTCCCCATACCTCCATTTCAGAAAAACCATGTTTTTACTTTTTAGCCAATAGTAATTTTCTGCTTCATGCACTCCTGTGTCAGACACCCTGAGGAATGATAATACATACCAAGATTCTTGAAGTACAAAATGTGCATCTAAAGTATGACACAGATTCTACGAAATATGTTATAATCAATGTCATTAGTTGTAGTCACTCTTTGACTACTAATCTCACTTGTTTTTACTTACAGTAATCCTAGAAACTAGACAAATTATAATCTACTGTTTCTTTTTGCCTTTGCTATAGCTTGTGTACAGCGGATATAGCAAAGAAACCCTAAGACAGAGAGAACTTCAGCTAAGTGTACTGAGTGCAGAATCTCTGCGGGAGAATTTTTTCTTGGGTGGAATAACCCTGCCTTTGAAAGATTTCAACTTGAGCAAAGAGACGGTTAAGTGGTATCAGCTGACTGCAGCAACCTATTTGTAAGCTAGTGAATTTCTGAGCTTTGGAAGCAAGAACAGTTATAAACATGTGCACGCACACACATGTGAACTCTGTATAGTATTTTTATACTTTTGACAGAAATTGTAAAGTAAGTGTACTTGCTGCATTTCAACACATCTGTTGGACCAACAGTCACTTAACTAACTTTTATAAATTTGTTGTCGCCATTGTCGTTTTAAAGTCACATAGAATGCTATAAATCCTAAACCTAATATAAAAGTCCTGAAAAAGACTTTGAGTTGGTGAAGGATTTACTCCTTTCTTGAGTAATTCAGAGGAATAGCTTTAGTGTGGTCTGATAGTACTGTGTCAGTTCAACCATCTATTTTGCATTATTTCTTACAGACACAGCATGTTTGTTTTTCTGTTTTGCACATTTTACAGCCTTTACCACTGTGTATGTTCACAAACACCAAAGGAGAGGAAAGGTGCAGGATGTTACCATAAAAAAATGCAGCTGCTAATTCACAGGGCCGAGAGGCAAAGCACAAATCATAGATAGTTATGTTAAGAACTACTAAGTAGTTTATTAGGGGGAAATAACATTGCTTTTTATTAAACATGTCTTTAAAGCCTTTTCCAGACTAAGTGCCAGTCACTGAAGTTGTAAATAATGGTGCCTTAACTTCATATGCTTCTTTGGCACTTCATTCTGATTTTTTTTGTAACTTGATAAATAATTGTAAGTAGTTTTCACTCACTTTTTACTAAAGAGAAGAAATCATATACACTTACTAATGTTTTTCCCACAGAAAGATCTTTTTCTCTACTTCTGATATGTGACTTAGTTATTTAAGTATCAGCCATTTGATTTATGTTTTTGTTGTCCAGTAACTGAATGAGGTTCACTGACAAAGCTATACACTAAATTCCACCATTCCATTATAATCCTACATTTATTCCTAGGAGTGTGAGTTGAAGTTTGATAATTTTACCTCCATACATCTAGACTCCACTCTCTTATTAAACAAGGGAAGATGTTCACCCATGTGCCCATTCCTGTTAGGTAGAAGAACTCCATGAGTAGAGCAGCCTCTTCACAAGAGACCCAGGACAAGAATTCTAGGGTCCAGATCGAATTTTAATGTAGAACTTTATGACAAAATTTGTCTTGTAAGCTGCCTTACTTACATTTGTAAACACTGTGCATTCACATGAATTACTTTCCTTAATATAATGGGATTCAGAAGCATAAGGGACATGATTGAAATTATTCTACAGTAACCAGTAAGATTCATTTTTATTAGTTATTCATTCAACTTCACCCATAATTTTGTGTTTAGTTTGGATAAATAGGTTTGTATATTCTCATGTCTAGAATAGAAAATCAGACATTTTTTAAATGGTAAGAGATTGTAGCAATCTGGTTGCTGTGAGATAACTGACAAAATATGCAATGAAAAACATCAAGAAAGAAAGGACAATCTCCAATTCAGTTGCCCAGAACAGAATTTTATGAACTATGTAAATGTTTAATATAAATGGTGATATACCTGCAGAACAGATATAGAAGAGTTGACGATGTATCAGTGGGACAGGTTATTAAAAAAAACTTGAAATTTTCGGTGCCTAACACTAATGGTCCATTTGTAGGAAACCCCATGAGAATGATTTATGAATGTCTTTTTTTTAATTTTATGTTAAGATGTATTGTCTATTTAATAAGTTAATTAAAATGCAGATCAAAGCCGTTTATTTGCTTTTTCCATATACGGTTAACATTTCCTTAAAATGTATAAGTAGCTTTGCAAATGTAAAGAAGTACTAGATATTTTCACTTAAGTTTTTGAGACCTAATTCCATTCCATGAGTTGTCACTTAGCCACTGTTTAAAAACAAAAAAAGAAGTAGTGTCTTAGTGAAAGGTCATTGTTAATTGGACTCAATGTATACTGCCTATTTGCAGTTTGTTACAGCAGTGTCTTTTACACAAATAACAGAGCTAGAAATACAATACCACTTTTCAATGACAAGAAATATGGATTCTTATCTAAAAGTGTATATTATGATTAATATTGTACAGTTTAACCAGAGTTCAGAAGAAGTGGTAATGTTTTCTCTTAATTTAACTCATTATGCGCCTTCTTTGGTTATTAATAAACACACAAACATGCTTCACATATATTTTAAATGTAAGTTATTTCTTTATGAAATGCTAATCTTAGCCCTTACTGCTCCCCCCTCCCAGAAAATTGACAGAGGCACCTCTTTGCACTACTTACTATCAATAAATTTTAAATCAGTTTTTTAAAACCATTTTTTTAAAGCTTGCAGTAAAGTAAATCTGAAACAAAAGTTTAAACAAACTGGCGAAGACACTAATTTTTATGTGTAATCACAATGTTTATACCTATCTTTACTGAGTAAAAATAATTATGCTACACGTAGGTCCTACACCAGAAGAATTCTTTCCTCTTGCAGTGTTTGGCATTTGAAAATAATGGTTTACTCAAAGAACCTATTATTTCTCTACTGAAGAACCCAATGTGGAACTTGCACTGATGTTTTTATTACTGCCTTTATAAGAATCTATAGGTATTTAAATATTAAGGCATGTATGACCTTTGATAAAGTATTTTATCTTTTCAAATTAATGTTGTATAAAAGTTTTAATATCTTGCCTTAAGTTGGTTGACTGTTCTTTCTGGGATTCAAGTATTGTGGATTTAAAAGAGAAAACATTCAATTTGATACTTTAGATTAAAAAGGAATGAAACCCCACTACCATAATCCATGGATTCACTTACATGCTGTTTGACTAGCAGTGCAAACATGAATGAATATGCCAATTAGTCTCATCTATAAGAACCAAACACTTCAATTATATTAAGGTAGTTAGTAGAGATGTATAATATTTTTATTAATATCTTGAATATATTCAGTGGATTGAATGTGACTTCATAACTGTACTATGATTGTATTAAAATATTTCTAGAACAAAGGATCTCTGCTATTATTTCTTTCCTCATCAACATTAACATTTTTGGTTCCAAACTTTAATATGAGCTGTTAACTGTTCTTTGCGTCTCACCCAGGAATTTATTAGGTTCAAATAATCCTGAATTTCAGAACTGGCCTGTCATTTGTCCCTAAAAATATCCAAGTAGAATGTCTAGAAGGTATGGATTGCCACTTAACTAGAACCCCATTACTACTTCATAGAAGTGAAATGCTTCTGTGAGTATGGTCCTTGGATTTAGAAGTTTACTCAAGTATTAAATAGTAGGGTAATATAGCCATATTATAGACGTACCTACAGAACAGGAAAATGTTGACTCTTAATACCATACCTCCATCCTGGAATTGATACCATTGAGATTGTGGTTCTCTGACCCTAGAGGTAACATGTAAAAGAGCCCAGAGACCATGAAAGAGCAGGAAATTACAGCCAGTTACTTTGGTTGATAAACTCAGTTTCTATCAGGTAAAACAAAAACAAAAACACCTTTATTTTACCCTTACTCTTGGGAACACTTTATCATGTAAATTTTAGACATGTACAAAGTTACACAACAGTATAATGTCCTCCATGAATGAATCCCATCCCACACCTTCAACAGTTACCTTAAGGTTAATCTCGTTTGAGCTATATTAATTAGGATCTGCCTAGGTGTAGATATTATTTTTTTCTACTTGGGACCTTAAATGTATGGATCAGTAACTTTCTTCAGTTTTCAATAATTTATTATGACATCTTTTCCAGTTGACTACGTCTTTCTTCAACTGTTTAACCTCTCCATTGAGCATTTATTTTGGTTATTGTATTTGTCACTTCTAGAACAACTGTTTGGTTATTTTTGTTTGTTTCAATCATGACCCAGGAAAAGCACAAGACTGCCAAGATCAGTGAAGAAAGAATAGTTTTTTTCAACAAGTGGTGCTGGGAGAATAAGATAACCATGTGCAAAAGAATGAAGTAGGACACTTGCAGCATATACAAAAATTAATTCAAAATGGACCCAAGACCTAAACATTACTAAAATTATAAAACTCTTAGAAGAAAACATAGGTGTGTATCTTTGAAACCTAGGATTAGACAGTTTAAGTATGTACAAAAAGCACAAACTACAAAAGAAAAAGATAATGATAAAAATAAAGATATCCTATGAGGATAATCAAGATACTGTGTTGGGAGGGAGAAGAACTCCTTTAGTCTTCCTCAGGGAAGTCCTCTCTGAAATGACATAGAGGCCAGGATCTGAAAGCCAGATCTGAGAAAATCTTGGAGAAGAGCACTTCAGGGAGTGGTAACAGGAAGAGGAAAGGAACACGCTTGTTACCTTGGAAGTTAAGAAAGAAGTGTGGCTGGAGCGTTTAGAACCAAGGGGATTTTGGTAAGAGGTCAGGGGTTTGAATTTTACTCTAAATGCACTGAGAAAGTATGGAAGAGATTTATTCAGGGGAATAATACATTATCTGATTTAAGTTTTCTTAGATCACTCTGACAGCTAGGTGGAGAATAGGTTACATGTGTTTGGGGTGGGCACATGAGTAAAAGCACAAATTGCATGGATACCAGAGTTCCCCAGGTGAGAGATGATGGTGGCTTGGATTAGGGGTAGCAGCGGAAACAAGTGAATGTATTCGTGATATATTTTTGTGGTAGAGCTGAGATGACTCTTAAACGGAATAAGACGAGGAAACATTGAGACTCAAGGTTTATGGTTTGAGTAAATGGGTAGTGTTTTAACTGATAAAGGATCTGGAGTAGGTAGCTAGGGGTGGAGATTGGGAATTGGAGCCATGTTAAAGTGAGATACCTATCCCATATCTGGGCTAAAGATGTAAATTTAACTAATGATAAGAATGTATCTTTGCTAGGGAAAAAAAAAGATTACTCAATTTGAATGAAATTCCTAATGCTTTGGGGAAAATTAGTCATCAAGTAGTGACATGGAAAGAGTGGTGATGAATGCTTCAATGCTTAAGGTTTCTTTAAAATCTAACCAATTACTTTAAACCTGTGGACAGAATTAGTAATTTCTCTGACCTTCCTCCTCCCCGGTGTCACGCAGTATTTGAACAAGCTCCTTCATTTGCCCATTTTTTTCAACGCATTCCTGTGTAACAGCACTGAGTCTTAAAAGAGTTTCAATGGCAGTTTCCTTGTGCCAACAACTTCAAATGCCTCATTTTCCCCTTCATCCGCCCCACTTCCCTTCACCTCCCTACATCCAGCTCCAGCCTTTGCCATCGTGTTCCCAAGGTTCTTCCATGTTCACCAATTCTCTCACTCCGGATGCGGCTCCATTGCCCAACACTTCTCCCGGCCGAGCCTAGCGCCCTAGGCGGCGCCCCACAGCCCAGTGTAGAGCAGAGTAACGAGGTCTCAAGTAGAGGGCTGGATACAGGGTAGAGGACCGCCAGGGCCTAGTTCAAGTCCCTACGCAGGTTAGTCTCCGTAGTCAGTGATCCCTCCCTTGAAAGATAAGAAATGGTATTGCTAGGCAAGGCAGTAGCCACTACCATTACTTCCAGTGAAGCACTTATCACCTTAGTATTTATTGTACCTGCAAATATTTCAAAAGCAGGGACAGACTCTGAGGTCTTCAGTGCCGAGACATGGCCTGGCGCTAGTGAATGAACAACTGTGTAGGTATGAACGTCAGGAGCCCAAATTCGCTGGGCGACAAGAGCGCACAGATAGTGGCCTTCCATAAGGCGGGGACCAAATCCACCAACCCGTGCAGTCATATCTGCTCTGCGCACTCCTAGTCCGGGATCCAAACTTGCACAACCTCACTACAGTCAGCTTGTCTTACAAGTGAACAGACGCGTGGGGAGGGGGGCTCTTTTTCCCGCTCCGGCGTGTAGCCGCCTCAAAGACCAATGCATGCCGGGATATGTAGTCCACGTTGAAATGCATTTCGGGCTATGTAGTTACGCCGACGCCGGAAATACGTAGCGCAGCTCCGCCTCCTGCGGACGAGGAAGTAGCGGCATGTTGCGTCACTTCCTGCGCGGAGGGTAGCTTCCTGCGGCGTTCCGAGCCTCGTTCTCCTTTTCGCTGCCGGACTGTCGCCATCATGGGTCGCATGCACGCTCCCGGGTGAGCCCAGGTTTCTGAAAGGGTTACAGGGCTTGGTCCGGGGATGGGGACAAAGGAGGCGGTGTGGACAGCGGGTCGAGGGGGTGAAGTTCTGGGCTACTGTGGCATGGGCCGCCTTCTCACCCCGAGACTGCTTCTCTCCCCAGGAAGGGCCTGTCCCAGTCGGCTCTGCCCTACCGCCGCAGCGTACCAACCGTAAGTAACATGGAGGGACCGAGGAGAGGTCGGGAGGGGGTGCCATTCGTCGCTCCGGAGAAGCGGCGTGGGGATGGAGACCACGTGTGCACGAGGAGCGCGGTTTTGACTCGGAGGGCTTCGCTATGCTTCGGTACCATCCGCAGTTTCTCTTTCTGAGGCGAATTTCTTTTCCATAAACAGTGGCTGAAATTGACGTCTGATGACGTGAAGGAGCAGATCTACAAACTGGCCAAGAAAGGCCTGACTCCCTCACAAATTGGTGAGTGTTTTTGTCTAATGTAGCGCTTTCCGCCTGCCCTTGCATAACTTGCTGAAATAGACTGACAGTAAATGTGTCTCAAGTGGCCTGAAAATTTTCTGCCCATTTTCCTGTCGTTACTGTTGATGATGACCGAGGTCTAGCCTTCATCTGCTGAACTCAGGTTCTTACTTGGGAGACGGTAAAACGATTAAAATGCTCGCCAGAGTCTAATCAGCGTTCACTTTGGGCTAGGCACTGCCTGCTCTGGGTGCATGGTTTTATGCACTTTACCTGTACTGTCCTCATTTAATTCTGATAGCCAGACTTAAAATACTTTCAGTAAATGCTAGTAGTTTTCCCTGTCTTAAGTTGAGGAAACTGAGGCACACTGCAGCTATACAACTAGCCCCAAACCAGATTGGCTACTCAGGGTGCTCATCACACTTGCTCACAAGATGGTGGAGGTATCATACACAACAGGGAACATGTAATAGATTGTTAGGTGGTGAGATGGTGCTATTCTGAAGAATACCATTGATTCCCTCGGTAGCCTGTAGTTCAGCAAGCTCACTATGATGATGGTTTTCCAACATTCGCAGTTTCCACCAGAAGGGTTTTTTCCTTGGTGTTGGGTTAACCTTCCTTGGATGTCTGAGTGAGCTTGGTGTGCTTTCTCACTTTCCTGTTTGTGATGTATGAAAGTAAGCCCTGTTTTGACAGGTAAGAAACACGGAAAGTGACTTGATCTCATGCTTGACATGATACTTTCCAGTTTGTGTGTTTGGTTTGGGAAATTATTTTATTCCCTTTTCAGGTGTGATCCTGAGAGATTCACATGGTGTTGCACAAGTACGTTTTGTGACAGGCAATAAAATCCTGAGGATTCTTAAGTCCAGAGGACTTGCTCCTGATCTTCCTGAGGATCTTTATCATTTAATTAAGAAGGCTGTTGCTGTTCGGAAGCATCTTGAGAGGAACAGGAAGGTAAGAGAATAGAACTGCTTGTGCTAACTCATTTCAGTAAAATACAGTGCATCTGATTTGAATTCTCTAAGGTGGCTTAGTGCGCAAACAGGTCACACTGCAGTTGGCTTTGAAATAAAAATTCTACCAGGAGAGATTTGTAGGGGGAGCTTTGGCTCCCTAGGCGCAGAGTATTCAGTTGGCTGAAAATATTGAGGTGTTTATTTGCATTTTCTATCATTCCTGTTAAGTCTTCTGGAGCCTTATGAACTAATCTGGCCACATGAATCTTAGCCTATGATTCTGTTCATTCCTTGGTTGAAAGAATGTTTAGTTTTGAGTAGTTTTCCTGAATTCTGTCAACTTTTACTTTTAGGATAAAGATGCTAAATTCCGTCTGATTCTGATTGAGAGCCGTATTCATAGGTTGGCTCGCTATTACAAGACCAAACGAGTCCTCCCCCCCAATTGGAAATAGTAAGTATCAACCTGTTTTTGTTAATGACAAGAGTTGGCCAGATATTAATATAGTAATAATTAACAGTAAAAGGCCTGACAGTAAAAGTTTTAGGCTGAGGATATGTGGTCAATTCTCATTATAGCAAGAATACAGCCATAGAGGATACATCAACACATGGGTGTGGCTGACGAGCAAAGGACATAGTTTGGTATTTGGTAGACTACTGATGTAGAGCACAAGCTATTTGACTCCCTTTTAGATAGTAAAGTTTCACTTACCTCTGCTCCCAGGTGTGTATGTTACCTTAATTTTTGCATAGATTGCTCACTGTGATTTCTGGACATTCACAGTTTCCACCAAAAAGGTTTTTCTTTATGTTGGCTAGTTCTTCCTTGGATGTCTGAGTGAGCATCTTTATTCATTGTGCTTGAGCACAGTGGACTGATTCAGGAGCTCAGGTGCATTTTATATATTTGGGGGTTATTTTAGCTGTTAGGAAACAGCTCTATTTTGAGAGCATCTGAATGAATATGGAGGACTTTTATTAATCCAGCTCTTCTCCTCTCCCCTCTTTTTCTTTTCAGTGAGTCATCCACAGCTTCTGCCCTGGTTGCATAAATTTGTGTGTACTCAAGCAATAAAATCATTGTTTAAGTAGAAGCATGTTTTGTGTTTCTTTCCCTTACAAAATTGTCTGGTTTGTGTTTTCTTTTTTGATTTGGAAGTGTTTTAGCAGAATTAGAATTGTGTGGTATCACAGGGAGCAATAAGATAATATCTCTTCACTGCTCAACTAGGTGAGCAGTTGATACCTTTATGAGCAGTTGTTGTATACACGGGTGGTGGGTACTGGAAGAAATTAGGAAGTAGTGACTTACTGTTATGATGTTACGGCAGAAATGTTTCTGAGTAATTTTGATACACTTAGATGTATTTGAGGTAGATCTGTGATAGGTGTTATCCACAGTGTAATGTTAGACATACATGAAGGTGTCTCGGGGGGGGTGGGCATGTTTAGTATGGACAGACATCAGGGGCAGTCCCCGTCTTGCAGGTGAAGTTTAAAGTTTAAAAGATGAGGAAGAAGGGATTCAGGGAACGATAAGCAAGCACAGTTGGAGCAGAGGGAGCAGGAAGACCTACCTAAGATGAGCTCAGGTCCCTGAGCCTTGCAACTTTTGGGTGAGTTAGAATAAAATTTGTACCTCGGTGTTGTCAGAATATTCCATTTAATTCTTAAACCTAACTAATGAGGTATATGGGTATCCTGTTGAAAGAGGCAGCCTTGGACAACTGGAGGGAGTTTAAGGTTGAAGACCAGTAAATGAGAAGATCAGGTCTAGCTGGTTTGCAGAGCCATACTCCAGAATTCAGAAAAAGTTAAAGCAGGCCATACATATATACTACCTTATTTTCTAAGTGTTTATCACTTGGATATATTTAATAGTAAGCTTTTTACTTAAGCTTTACCCAAAGCAGTAAAATCAAAGTTGTGTTTGAAATCACTCTAAGGCAAAGTCCCTTGTATTCAAGGAACCCAGTCTTACAACTAGCATTGATGTCCTGTGGAGTGCCAGGCTCCGGGGGTAACAGACACCTTGTTCTTTAGGACACTTCACATATTTGCTCTGTGCGGGGTATGCTGCTCTCTGTGCTCTGATGGGTACGTAAACTGGTTCATCCCCACCTCCTGATGGGCTCACAAACAGTTTTGGGGAAACAGGAATGGAACAAGCCAGTTTCAGTATTTTACCCAATTCTTACCTAGTGTTAGATGTGAATTCCTGATCCCTGTGCTTTTGTGTTCATGTCGTAAAAGTGGCTAACCGTCATGAACCAAATAATAAACTTACTGTAATAAGGCAAACATCTCCAAGAGTGGTGAATGAGTAAAAGAACGTAACAACAGCATGATGATTTGAAAACCCCAGTTAAGCTAGGCAAATGGGTATTGATGGTTCTGGACCCAAAACTGGTCAGTAGTAGTAGATATGATGTTTCAAAGCATCTCTAGGTTTTAATTACAAGAAGTATTTACATCTTTATAATTCTTGCCATCAAACCAAGAGAATTACTGCAAATACTAAATGTGACTACTACATGTTGGGAGGTTTTTTAATGCATTAAACAATATACTTGGTTTTGAACAATAAGGAAATGTAAAAACCACCTGCAGTCCTTTTGAGTGTGGGCAGAGGATTCAAACTTGGTTTTCGGAAACAGCCCTGCTACTTAAAAGGCTGTGTGGTTTAGGGGGTCTGATCTCAATCTCTAAATTACTGTGAGGATCACATGAGGTTCTTAATATGTGGCAGTAGTTAAATCATTCAGAGAAAATTTTAACAATCCCTTCAGTGACCATCCCTCCAGACTGCTTCCTGTTAATGTAATCACAGGCGCTTTTTGCACATGGGTATTATGACTGTCATTCCATAGTCTTCACTTGTTATGTCCTGGTTTTGGGTATTTAATAGAAGATGTTATGTACTCTAATTTGTCCTGTTGTCTTGAGATAAATTTCCAGAAATGGGATCTTTGGTATGTATATTTTATATTTTGTGTGTTTTGCAGAACTCGTGTGTACTGATAAGTACTCAAAAAGTGCATGAGTGTCATTTCTTTACATCCTTTTAAAATTGTTTTTGTTTAAATCTTTAAGAAACTGATATTCTCCTTTACCTCTTTGATGGCTAATGAATATCGTACATTTACTTCTTGTGAATTGCCTATGGGGACCCTATTCCAGTTTCTCTTTTGGAACACTGTTATTAACCCTTTATCATGTGTTACAAGTATTTTCCCCAGCTTATTCTTTGTCCTTTGATCTTATGGTCTTTTTGCCGTGTAAGTCTAAGAATTCTGGACACTGTCCCTGATGGCTTTCCTTAATGATCTTTTTCTTTTTTAAATGGATCATTAATTAAGTTATTTGGAGGGGGTTCTCCCTTCTGTTAAATATAGTGTGGTCTTCATCTGTCTTGTAGACTTAGACATTTATTCTTCCTTTTCAAACGAGAGCTCCCATATGCTTTTTCTTAGTCACATCTATTTTGACAGAGTTGGAATCAGCATATGCATATTATTTGTCCAAATCTACCCATATGTGAGCTCCTAGGATTTGAAGGTTTCCTTTAACAACTGTTCTCTTCATTTAAAAATAGTCCTTTCTTCAAATGACAGGAGTTTGTCTTATTTTTTAATTGAAGTTATGCATATATTTGATTTTATGAGACTTATGACTAAAAATAGTCCCTTTCCTTTTGCAGCCTAAAGTCCAGGGCAACGACTTCAACTCCACTATTTTTCTTCTTTTTTGTTGTTGTTTTTAAATTTTGTTTTTATTGACATGTAGCTGATTAACAATGTTAGTTTCAGGGGTACTCAGCTGTTTTTCTGACAAACAGTATGCCTTCTTATTTCTCAATAACTTTTTTTTCCTAAATTGAGGTGAAATTTACATACAAAATTCATCACTTTAAAGTGAAAAATTCAGTGGCATTTAGTACATTCAAATGTGCAACAACCACTCCTATCTAGTTCCAAAACATTTTCATAACCCCAAAATAAAACCCCTTACTCATAAAGCATTTACTCCTCATTCTCTCCCCTCCAGCCCTTGGCAACTACCAGTCTGCTTTCTTTTCCTATGGGTTTACCTATTCTGAATATATCATATAAATGGAATTATACAACGTATGACCTTTAATGTTTGGCTTTCACTTAGCATGATGCTTTTGGGACTCGCTGACGTAGCATGTGTTTGTATGTCATTTTTATGGCTAATATCCCACCTTATGTTTATACCATAATTCTTTTATATATTCATCAGCAGATGGATATTTGGATTACATCTACCTTTTGGCTATTTTGAATAGTGCTGCTATAAACATTCATGTACATGTACTTGTTTCCAGTCCTTTTGGATATATACTTGGAAGTGGAATTGCTCTAAGTAACATTCTTATACTATGATTTCTTGATTTTAGTTTATACTTCTTCCCCTGGAATCATAATTATATGTTTACATATAATATATGTAATTCTACACTTAACGTTTCTGTAAGTAGATATATTTACATAAAATGTTAGTAATTACTTTGTTCTTCCATCTGCTCAGTGTTCTGTGCTCCTGTCTCATGTGTTCATCCCTAAATGTTGAGCCATAGTTCAAATCTCAATATGTTCAATTTTACTTTTGTTTTTACTATGTGGTGATACCCCTCCCAGGACCCCTATCCTCTAGCTCCAACTCAAACAGGTTACTCTTGAGGTCTATAGTTCTGGGGTCTCCTTTTGCCATCAGTATAGAATTCTTTTTGCTTCCAGTGTCAGGAGTACCTGTTTCCACATCACATGTCTTCCTCTTTCTTTGTTTACTGCTTCCTTTTGGTGAAACATCCTTTAGTAGCTCCCGAAGAAAGGGCTCAATCCTTGGACCTCATTTCTTCTCTGTTTATACGAACATTGAGTCTGGCTTTAAATGCTATCTGAGGTTATTATGCTAAAATTTCTACCTCCAGGGCAGATCTCTGAACTCTAGTCTGAGATATGCATCTGCCTATTCAGATCCCCAAGCAGATCTCTGATATACACCTGGACTTTATCCTGAACTAAACTTGATTTTTGCAGCCCAAACCTCTGTCCCAAGACATCTCCATCTCAGTAAATGGCAACTTGATTCATCCTTGGACCAAAAACCTGAGTCATCCTTGCTTTTTTTTCCTCTTAAACCACACATCCACTTGGTCACCAAATCCTCTTGGCTCGATCTTTACAATATATCCCCAGATTTGACCACTTACCACCTCTTCTACAAACACCCTAGTCTGAGTCACTTTCTCTTACCCTTACTATTGTAAAAGCCTCCTAACTGTTCTCTCTTTGACCCCCACCAACATCTTCTGCATCCAGCATCTAGAGTGGTTTTTTTTTAAGACTTTATTTTTTAAATAGTGGTACTGGGGATTGAACCCAGGACCTCGTACATGCTAAGCATGCACTCTACCACTGAGCTTTACCCTCCCACTCTAGAGTGGTCTTTTAAAATCTAAGTCACGTGCTGTCCCAAGTGCTCAAAAACTTCCAGTGGTTTCCCGTCTCCTTTAGAGTAAAATTTATAATCCATACCTTGCCTTACAAGGGAGTGTTAGGATCCTGGCAGGAAAACAGGTGAGTGTCACACTCAAATTGAGCAATTTGGAGACTGTTTACTAGAGGAACTCTTTACAAAGGTGTGAGTGGGGTTTAGGGAAGCCACGGGTAAACTGTGTGAGGTTCCCTGGAGCTGGCAATCACGGGAAGGCATTAGGTAGTCCCACTCTAGCTGAAGAACGAAGGGAACTCAGAGCTGCTGAGCATCACCTGGCAGAAGCTGTGGCTCTCAGAAAGACTCCGCCTGCCCTCTGATTTTTGCAGATGCCTCCCATTGGCTAAATGTCATAGGAAGCCAGACACCAAGAGAGCCTGTTGGCATGGCCCATACTCAGCTTCCCAGGCAACAGAGCAGGGTGGATAGTGGGTCTGGGGGGACAAAAGCAAAATATTCAGGACAAAGGGCCCTGTGATCTGGCCTATGCGTTCATCTCCTACCACCCTTCTTAGTCATACTGGCCTGGTTTCACAAGTACTCTTCGCTGGTCATTGCCCTTGTTCATTCCTCTGCCTGGAAGGCTCTCCCCCAGATATCTGTGTGGCTTGCTCCTTCACTGAGGTTCAAGTGACCTCAACCAATGAGGCCCTATCCAAAAGAGCTCCCTCCCACCCAGCACTCCATCCCCCCACTTCAGAGTCCTGATTACTATCTGACGTGTTATTTTCAGATTATATGAAAGCCCTGTTTGTTCACTGCTATATCCCTAGTGTTTAGAAAAATGTCTGGCACATAGTAGGTTCTCAATAAATATTGGTTAAATAAATGCACACAAGGGATGAAAAACACTTTTGAGATCTTGGGAAAAGTCTTTTTCAGCTCTCACTGTGGATTGATAAAATTTGAATGGGAATAGAGTCTTAGTTGGAAATCATTTTTCCTAAAAACTTACCACTGCTTCTTTTTAGCTAAAAACAAACAAAAATTGCTGTTGAGAAATCAGATGTCATTCTGTTTCCCACTCTTTTGTTTGTAACCTTTTTTCTTTTTCCTTTTCTTGACCTGATGCTTTTAGGATCATCTCTTTATTGCTTAGTGTTCTGAGATTTGCAATAATACCTTGATTTTTGTCTGTTTTCATTTGTTCTGCAGTGTGCTCAGTGAGCTATTTCAGTTTCAAAATTGCCTTGCAGTTCTGGGGAATTTTCTTGAATTATTCCTTTAATACTTCTTCCATACTATTTTCTATGTTATCTTTCTGGAACTCGTTATTTACACATCAGATTTTTGGACTGAGCCTCTAATTTTTGTGTCTTTTACCAACTATTGTCCATCTCTTTTCCTACTTTATGAGAGATTTCAACTTTATCTTCCAATATTATTACTAATTTTTCCATTTCTACCTTTATATTTTTAATCTCAGAGCCAGTGGTATGTTGGTAAATGCTGTTATATGTGTATGTTGATATGTGTTTGTATATATGTATATATACATAGTATTTACATATATATGTTGTATATATGTCTGTATGTTGTGTGTTGGTAAATGTTTTAACAACTCTGAAGTGAAGGGGACAACTCTGACTTGTGTAGTTTACCTATTTCTGGGGTATAAAAACTCCCTCTGATCAATTTCAAGCTACCAATATGGTATCACTTTAGTAGTAGACCATTACATATACTTCCCCCATACAGAAACAATAAACGTAAGTGGCTTCATGATCATAGATAGTAACAAAACTATATAAAATAATTAGGAAGTGAAGAGCTTTGAGTATCTGTTTTGAATATAATTTGTTTTGAAATAATTTATTTACCTTTGAGTTTATATAATTTAATTTTTAATAACTCCTTGTGCTTCACTGGCTTGCACAATTCCTGCAAATGTAACAGTTGGCTCTTGCGAGCTTTTATGAGCCAGATCTAGCTCACCACCACTCAGAGCTCATCTTTGTACCCTGAACTTTCTTCTTACAGAAACCTGCTGTTTCACAGATAAAATATCTTCTCATCTCTGAATACATTAATGATAATCTTAAACATTTTCTGCCTCTACATTGTTTTCTCTGAGCTCCTTTTTGTATTTGCTTGTCTTTTATGTTAGAGGCTTTCCTCACATGTCCAATAATCCTCGTAAGGATCTGAATTGTGATGCCCACTACAGACAGCACGGAATTGTATCCAGATGCAGTTCCTCTTTTTCACTACTAGGTGGCGTTGATTGCTGTTGTTGCTGGGGATGCTGACACTACCCTATACTTGCAGCTTCTTAAAATTTAGAAGTATTCTCACATTTGTTATTTTTTTGATTTTCAACTTCCCAAAAAGTCGACTCCACATTTCTTGGGGAGGAGATTTGGTATAAATTCATTTAAGAAAATTGCCCCCATTTTAAAGATGAGGAAACTGAAGCTCAAAAAAGGTAACTCAAACTGAGGTCATTAGGGTGCCTGGTGTTCGTATCACTGTCCCTTTATGCCTCTTATCCATTGTCTTAGGTTTTTTTTTTTTTAAAGGAGAAGTGCAAATTAACAAAGACCTTTTTCTTTGTTCTTGTTCTTCTGGACAAATCAATTTAAAAATTATTAACAGTTAATATTTTAGCTAATTCCTAATGTATGATAATATATTCATTAGAGAAATAAAAATTTTAAATCTCCAGGAGTCTAAGTGAATTTAAGTACTTTTTTATATTGTTTCTCTCTCATTTTCTTACCTGTGAGTAGAAATCATAGATCTCTTAAGCTAAAGATAAGAGTTCTTTCAGCTCTAAACCAGTGCTATTCCCAGCATCCCAGCCTCACCTACCATCACACTATTTCATACACTATTATCTTTGCTGGGGCTGCAAACACAGTGGTATGTATAGCAGTAGCTTGGGAATGGTAAGCCCCCAGATCAAGATAGTGTTACCTCCCTAGGGGAAAGGAGGTGGGCAGGGTTGGGCAGGGCTACACAGAGAATTTTAACTGTGTCTATAATGTTTTATTTCATAAGCTAGGAGGTAGGTACAAGGGGTTTTGTTATATTCTTTTTCTATGCTCAACCTAATTCAGTCACTATGAGGTTTAGAGTTATAAAAGCAGTTCATTTACTCCACAAATAGAGTCCACATGACCTATGGTTTGGTTTGGGTTGGGGTCGTTACAGGTGGCTGTTCAGTTTCTATTTGAACTCCTCCAGGGACAGGAAGATCACTACTCAAAAGAAGTTTGGTTTTTACTGTTGCGTAGCAGTTCCCCATGTGTCTACTGGGTCTCACCCGGAGCTCTATTTCACAGGGCTGTGGTGAGGGGGAAGGAGATGGAAGAGGAGGAAGAAGTTGGAAAAGCAGAAAGCATCTGTCTCTGCAAGGGGACGGTCCTCTCCGGTTCCAGCAGCCAGTGTGCCTGAGGGTGAGCCGGGCTCGGGGATCTGACAGGGGAGAGGCTGTGCTGGGGCTGCGCGCTTCTCCACTCAGGCACCGACCAACAGGCTGGAGGTTGGAGCTTCTGGGTTGCCATTGTGTTGCCTGTATGGGGACGCTATGGTGCTGGGCCTGGAATGAAGGGGGACTTGGGACAGAGAGACCATCCAGTGCTGGAGGTGTGGGACAGTCCATGTCACCCTGGCGGTCCTGCTCTGCCAGTATCTGCTCTTCTAGTTCAGGGACAGGGCACTTTGGACTGATCCGGGGTCCTCTCAGCCTGGGTCGTCAGCACCTGCACTCACACCCCACCAACAAGGCTTTTCGCTGAAATACTGGAGCAGCACTGGTCTTGAAAGAAGAATGGTTAGGTAGGTACCCTACCCTGTGAGGGGCATTAAACAGAGCCCCTCCCCATTGCCCTAAATCTCTAGCTAACTTGTTGCAGTGCCTGAAATCCCATCATTGGAAAAGCACATACATTTCCTAGATGGTCTGGCACATTCTTTGAGAGCCTGCACAGATATAGTTATAGACTAACAGATTCACAAAGATCCAAAGGTAAACAGCAAAGCTCTACACTAACTAAAATGATATTATTTATGCAAATCACCCCTGAGCACTAACCACCTCTAACTCAGGATCAGGGAGTTACGGGTCACAAACCCTTTTGTTTCCATAACTCACTGGAACCTTATAGCAAACCTGTACTGCAGGAAAGTATTAAACTTCTCTGCTTCAGTTTCCTCTTATGAAATGGAGGTAAAGGCCCTTGCCCAAGGTCATATGGCCAATTGAGGCCACAAAGACAGGACACTAGATTTTAGAGACAGAAGGGCTTATTTGTTCCTATTTTCTCAAAGCAGCCTGGGGTGTGACACTCTCAACCCTATAGAAGGACAGGTCTCTGACCTTTGAAAGCAAGATAAAGATGGTGAAGCTGGAAAGGGAAAGTCATTTGGGCGGGTGTGTGAGGGACCCGGAGTGCAGGTCAGGCTGGTCACTGAGGAAACTGAACCGGGATTTGGGAGTGTGGTCAGTTAGCTGTTCAGGTGATGAGACTGAGGTCCCCTCTACCTACCCAGGGGAAGAGCCTGGGTTGGGGAGTCTGCAAATAGCGCAGTCAGGATGGAACCCAGGCTGTCAGTGCCTGAGCCCTGATTTCCCCATCAACGCACCCCAAGGGGTGCTGTGTGAACTTCGGAAGTCTCACTGCCCTGCTGATCCTTACTAGAAAAGAGGAGTTTGGACCAGGTAGGCTTCCCTGACTATGCCATGCCAAGTTCCGGAAGCAGGTGAAACGATTCAAGTCTCCAGCACCTCTAGAAGAGAGGCCTGGGGACAGGAAGGATGAGTGTTTCCAGTCCTGACTGAATCACTTTTTCTTACATTAGAACAGATTCCTTTCTGGCCTGAAGGTTGGAAACTCAGGTGCACCCATGCGGCATCTCCTAGGCTCTGCCTAGCCTGCCCATTTATTCCTTCAGCAACACTCTCTAAAGCTTACGATGGCCCTGGCCCCTCCTCTCTCCTCTCTTATCCATCTATCCATCCATCCAACCAGTCAACAAATAGTTATTGAACTATGTCAGCTGCTATTTTAGGGTTTGGGATACAACAGCGAACAAAACCAAACATAGTCCCTGCTCTCATGGAGCCTACATGGCTTTGAAGCGGAGAGATATTAAGCAAATAATCACTATACAGATGTAGATGTCAACCACAGAAGTGCAAAGGAGACTAAAGGAGACATGCCTGGTGCTGCGAGAGCCAACATGGTGGGGTGGGGGTGGGGGCAGAGAAGGCCTCTCTGAGGAGGTGGCTCTTGAACTGTTATCTGACGTAAGGGGGAGTGGAGCTGGGGGTATGTAGTGGACATTCCAGGCACAGGAAATAGCCTGTACAAAGGCCTTGTGGCAGAAGGGAGCCCAGTGAGTTGGGGAGGGAGAGTGGGGCTAAGGAGGAAGGACAGGACGCAGGGGCCAGACTCACAGGACTACAGGCCTTTGAAAGGAACTGTCTTTTCTTTAGAGCAACAGGGATAAAAGGGTTTCATTGGGGAGTGAGATGATCAGCTTTACATTTTGAAAATATTCTGGCTCCCTGCTGGGTGAAGAGTGGACAAGGGTAGGTAGAAGGGGAACTGGACCTGGTGAATTTGGGAGACCAGAGAGAGGAGGCCAGAGTCCAGAGGAGAGATAACTGTGGCTTGGACTAAGGGGTCAGAGTAGAGATGGAGGAGAATGGACAAATTAGAGAAGTATCTGGAAAGTAAATCTGTCCAGACTTGGGGTTGGGTTGGACATGGGGTATAAAAGAGAGAGAGGTATGAGAGATGACTGCCAGTCTCTGGCACGGGCAAAAGGAAGGATGGTGGGTCATTTGTGAAGACAGGGAACACTGAGGGAGGGGCAGGTGTGAGCAGCACATTATGAGTTCAGTTTTGGAGATGTTGAGTTTGAACTGTCTTTAAGACAGTTGGCGAGGCCAAATAATAACACTTCCTGAGCACTAAGGCATGCTAGGTGTTGCACCAAGGGCATTGTAAGTATCGTGTTGTTTAATCCTCACAAGGCATCAGCATCTTCATTTTTCAAAAGACACTGAGGCGCAGAAAGGGAGAGCAGGCAGGCCGCTGGACAGATTGGCCTGAAGCTCAGAAGAAAGCTCTGCGCTGCAGACGTAAAGGTTTCCAGGAGGAGTAGAAATTGAACCCATGGTCAAATGAAACTGCCCACAGAGAGAAGTGTCCAGCTTCTTCCCTCTCTTCTCACCCACCTCGAGCTGGGCTCCCCTCAGGCCCGCTGTCCCGTGCTGGGCAGAACATGAGGTGCCTGGATCCACCCTAGGTGTGGAGACTGTGTGTCAAACTATTCATTGTCCCCTCAAGAGGTGGGGTCTCACTGCCCTCCCTGTCAATCTGCCAGGCCCATGACTTGCTTATAATTAACAGAATTCAGAGAAGTAACACTTTAGGACTTAGAAGCTAGGGCAGAAAAGGCCTGGTTACCTGGGACACTCATGCTTGGGGTAGGAAGGCCAACCCTGAGGCCTCCAACCCGCGAGAGAGCCGAGGCCACTCGTAGAAGCCATGCGCAGGTGGTCTGGAAAACAACCACGGTGGAGGCCCAGGAGGCAGCCAGTAGTAGCCCCCGGCACGTGGGTGAGGTTATCTCCGTGTGATTCCTGCCCTCGGCCCGTGAGGCCCCCCCAGCCACTGAATCTGCTCAGCTGAGGCCCCAGACATTCTGGAGCAGAGACAAGCCATTCCTGCCATGCCCTATCGGAATTCTTGACCTACAGGAACCTTGAGAACAATACAATGATTGTCTTAAGGCATTAGATATTGGGATAACTTGTTTCACAGCAAAAATAACAGGAACATTTACTAAGGACGGGGAGGATGAGTTTCTACAGCTTCATGGCTGTTCGAGGGACAGGGCAGCGGCTTCCCGGCCTTTCTCCACCCACCACCCTCCCAGTTCTCACCTCACCTCACTCTGAACAGGCGTCCATGGACGTGTCTGTCTGCCCTACCAGACAGGCTGTGAGCCCTGCCTGGGCAGGACGGCAGGACCTTCCTGGTTGCCTCGAGTCCCAGGTGCCCAGCACGGAGCCTGACACGGAGAGAATCAGTAAGTGCTCGCTGGGGACGTGCAGCCTGCAGTTGGTCTGATGTTTCTTTCACTGGAAGTGGGGATCTCAGACTCCTTCCAAGGACATGGGGGAGCTGGACGGAAGCTCTTGCTGGCTGCCTCACACAGAGACAGAGGATTGGGCTGAAGGCAATTTTTCAGAAAGCATTCCCGTGAATACAACATTTTGATTGAAACAACGATTTGATTGAAAATGAATATTCCCCAGTTGCTGGGGTTTTTTCCCTACAGTGTCAGTTATCATCCTTCATAGATAATTTTCAACCCTCTAATAGTTTTAAAGCATTTTTGCCTATTTTCAGGATTTTTCAGGACTTTACCCCTAATTATTTGTAATTGGTTTTAGCCTACTTTACTGCATTTGAGTATTTGAAATAGTTGGAATTTGCAGCTGCCTGAAGGTCTCACTGATGAGGAGAATGCTTGGGACCGTGGGCTCAGAATCACAGGGGAGGAACGCCAGAGGGGGCCCTTTACTGGGGTGTTCGCTTTGTGTGAGGATAAGCTGAGGCTCTGAGGAGGAAGGAGCTTGTCCCGGGTCACACAGGGAGGGGACAGTGAGGACTAGCCAGGCTCCTGGCCTGGTGCCCTTTCCCCTCTGTTCCTGTTCCAGGTGTGAGCAGAAATAGTCCCTAAGGCAGGACTATGGGAGTTGTTTAAATCTCTCTTTTGCACGTCTAGTTTCTGATGTTTATGTAACAGTATGAATTGCTCTGGGCACAAGAAAAAAAAGTGAACAGTAAAAGAAAGAATAAAAAATTCAATGAAAGGTATCTCACCTGAAGCCCTCGCCCAACCCTGACCACACATGTACACACAGGCAGTACTACTGCCCTCACGTACAGCGCTGCCTCTCCAAAGACTGTGGCCTTTAGCGACATTCTAGACTTAGGGTCACACAGATCCCAGCTCTGAGCCCCAAGGTCCAGGGAACGGCAGTATGTTCTGGTGCACAAATCCCTGGGGCCTGTCCACCCCAGGGAGGTGGGGAGCAGATGCTAAGAGGGGAGAGGTGGACCCTAGAGATTTAGAGGGACTGTGAGCCCCAGGAGCCCCACCAGGGGCCAGCAGGAAGCTGGCCCTAGG